GAGATGGCTGTTGGAAAAGTAGGAGAAAATCTGGGGAGGGGAGGGTATTAGATGTCAAAGATTAGACATCATTATAGGACAGTATGATAGCAAAAGGGGAAAAGAGTAAATGAAGTAGGGCAGAGATCAGTAAAATGGGATGGGTTAATCTTTCTCATTTTAGTAATCACCACTCTACTTTATTTACTTCCTCCTTTCCCTTTTTGTTACCAGACTTTCCTATAATATCCTCTAATCTTTGACATCTAACATCTTCCCCTCACCCTGGATTCTTTTACTTTTTCAACAGCTATCTCTATTCTTTCTTTTACATTTTTCCTATACTTTTCCCCAGTGACAGATATATAATTCACTCAAACACCCTACCTCTTTAACCCTCCCCTTTATACTAATTTGTGGTCTAGTTCACTTGCTCCACTTTTTCCCTTTTCACTACCATACTGTCCTATAACACTCAAATCTTTGACATCTGACATATTTTATCATAATCTTTAATTTTCATTTGCCCTTTCTGACACAATACTTTACCATAGTGCTACATGACTTTTGATGTCTAGCACATTTATTTTCAAAAATCAAACATCAAACATTCTCTCCATCTCCTACTGTGCAGTCCTCTTCAATGTCTACCCCCTCTTCCCCTATTACTATTCTTCATCCTTATTGTCCTCCCACGCACAGAACTACGCCACTCCACCTCACCTCATCTTCCTCTCGCTCTCATTCTTCTACTTCCTCTTTGGTCCAGCCAAGTGAGATCGATTCTTTGTGATTCCCCCCACATACCCTCCCTCTTTTCAACAGTGCCTCCAGAAACAAGTAGGCAAGGTTACATTTCACAGTCACTCTGATCATTCACACCTTGTCACAGTTACATCTGAATCCCAAGCTTATGCACTATCTACCCTAACTGACCTTACTGGCAAACCCATTTCTGCCGAACCTGACCCGTCTCTTATTACTTGTACTGGAACTGTTTCTATCCCTATCTACAACAAGGACTAGTCAGACTGAAAATGACCTACTTACCTGCCTTGGTGAATATGATGGGGTGGCAGTACAGTGTTACACTCTTTCTCCCAGAGGCAACATAGGTCTCACATCAATATTGCCAAGATTATCTTCCATAGACACGACCTCCCCCATAAGTTTATATTGGTGGATTGTCCTACTATGTCTGACCATATCAACCCCTTCCTCATCAATATCAGAAATGTTGGCATTTGGCCACCTTTCCAAACATCGTCCCTCCACAGCCCCCTATCCTCTATGTGCACAACCTTGTCATGACTGTTCAAATTGCCCTGATCAGTCACGTACATATGCCAATTATGGAGACTCCTATAATGTACTTTATAGGAGCCTATAAGCTTGAATGTGAGGTAACAGTCATCATATTCAAACTAGGCCTCACTCTATGTAAGGCCAGACAGGAAAACATGACAATGAAGATTTCCTCTCTCAACTTATTCAAAAACAGTCCTTCGGTCTGCTCCCCCACCATCTTCACAAGATGTTTTTGCATCTCCCACAGTATCTCTCCCCAATATCCAAAACCATCCTACATCCACTCACCTTCCCCAGTCAAATTCATTTTCCAGTCTAAATCCAGATACTCCAATCTCTACCACTTCCCCAATACCTACCCCTCTTCCTTACTTTATTTGTTGTACCAGGCAACCTAACTGTTAAATACTCATGTGAACCCCTTATTACAACAGTATCCTTCTCCAGGCCCTTTCCCTCCAGACATTGTTTCAGATGCTTCACCACTTTCCCCAGTCCCTCTTTCTCATCCCCTTTATTCTTCTGCTTCTTCAACCACCACCTCTGTTTTCCTTGAACAATGTCCCTGTTCCTTCCCCAGTCACAGATACACTGCAATTCACTTAATTGCTCTATCCCCTTAACCTTTCCCATTTTACTAATCCCTGCTCTACTTCATTTACTTCTCTCTCTTCCCTTTTCATTGTCACACTTTCCTATAACACTCTCTAATCTTTGACATCTAACACCTTCCCCTCTCCCCTGATTATTCTCCTACTTTTCCAATAGCTATCTCTATTTTCCTTGAACTTTGTTCATATACATTCCCAAGTGACGGATTACACGGTAATTCACTCAATCGCCCTACCCCCTTAAGGAGGTAGTGCGATTAAGTGAATTGCATTGTATCTGTGACTGGAGAAGGAATAGGGATAATAGGTGATAACGATAGATACATTTGTCTTAGTAGTAGAGGATTAGGTATCTCAGGGTTCAGATAAAGGATCAGGAGTAGATGAAGGAGTAGTGTTGGGGTTTGATAGGGAAGGTAGGGTATGAGGAAGGGTATTGTGATAAAAGAGATGCAAGTGTGTATCCAGGAAGGAGTGGGAGGAAGAGTTGGGAAGGATGGGGTTTTGGTTTGGGTGGTTAAAAGGATGAGGTAATTTGGGAAGGGGTAGGGGGAATATAAGGGATAGAGCAACTGAGTGAATTGCAGTTATATCTATGACTGGGGAAGGAATGGGGCCATTGTTCAAGGAAAACAAAGGTGGCTGTTGAAGTAAGAGGAAGGGAATCCAGGGGATGAGAAAGGAGGACTGGGGAAATTGGTGAAGTATCAGGAAGAATGTCTGGAGGGAAAGGGTCTAGAGAAGGTTTGATAGAGGGGATTCATGTGAGTATTAAAGTGGGAGCGGTAAAAGAGGGTGGGGTATGTTGGGAAGGTTTAGGAGGAAGTGGGCTGGAGGGAACTTGAGGAGGAGGAGGATGGATATCTGCAAACTTTAAATGTAGAAGGAGTAGGAACAGAGGGATTGGGGGGTGAATGAAGGAGTGGAGTGTTCCCTTGGGTCATCTTTAGGAAGTTTTGGATGTCTTCCAAGGGTTTCTGGAAGGGAGTTGGGTGAAGAGGACTGAAAAACAAAGGTTCTCTTGTGAAGAGAAGAGGAGATAGATATCTAAGAAACAGAAGAGGAGGATGGTGTAGGAGAGAATGTAGTAGGAGAGGGTGGAGTGGAACATTTAGGTTGTCTGATATGATAAAGTGAGGAGGAGAGGTAGGTATTAGGGAAGTGGTGGAGATTGGAGTATCTGGATTTAGATTGGAAAAGGACTTTCACTGGGGGATAGAGTGAGTAGACGTAGGACGTAGGTTTAGAGTATAGTGGAGAAATATCTGGGGAGATGTAGAAACATCTTGTGAAGATGGTGGGGGAGCAGATCGAAGGACTGTTTTGAAATAAGTGCAGAGAAAAATACCTTGTCGTCCTGCTTCTTGTCTGGCTTCACGTAGACTGAAGCCCAATTTGAATCTGAGGACTGCTACCTCACATTCAAGTTTATAGGCAGGGCAACTCCTATAAAATACATTATGGGAGACTCCACAATTGGTACATGTACGTGACTGAGCAGGGCATTTGGAACAGTCATAACCAGGTTGGGCACATAGAGGGCATTTGGGTGTGGAGCGACAATGTTTGGCTGGGTGACATTGATGAGGAAGGGGTCGATATTGTTGGGTATGATAAGACAGTCCACCAATATAAACTTCATGGGGGATGTCTTGTCTAAGGAAGCTAATCTTGGCAATATTGATGTGGGACTTAAACTGGCCTCTGGGATTAATATTGTTATACTGTACGGCCACTGCATCATCTTCAACAAGGCAGGTAAGTAGGTCATTTTCACAGTCTGACCATTCCTTGTTGTAGATGGGACAAACATTTTGGGGAATAGAAACAGTTTCAGTACAAGTTTCAAGAGGGGTGACGTTCGGCAGGAATGGGTTTGCCAGTAAGGTCAGTTTGGGTAGATAGTGCACGAGCTTGGAATTCAGATGTAACTGTGACAAAGCGTGAACGATTAAAACGACTGTGAAAGGTAACCTTGCCTACTCGTTTCTGGAGGCACTGTTGAAAGAGAAGGGTTTTCTCAGAATAGGGTGCTGTGGGGGGAATCACAAACAATCGATCTCACTTGGCTGGGCCAAAGAGAGTACTCAGGTTTGGAGAGGTAGAGGCAGTAGAAGTTGGGGTATTAGTATCAGTGGTCGGAGCCGTGGTCAAAGAAGGGGCTGGGGTCAGAAAACCATCAAAATCAAATTCAGATAGGCTATTTGATTAAGAGGCAAGCCCCTATTAACCCACTTATGACAGGTGTCATACAAATGTGACACCTGGAAAAATAAACATTGCCAGGCGTCTTGCCGGTGTGACGCTGGATCAGAGCTTGCATTCTAATTCCGGCGCGGGCTGCGGCCAGCATGTGGGCAGATTCTGGGCCAGCCCAGCGTGCCGATTTTGAAGCTGCCCGGAAACTATTATTTTTGGCTAGTGGGTTGTGTAAAGAATCTTCATTACTGGCCATGATGTGCCTGAATAAACTGGGGAAAAGAAATGGTCTACTCATCAGGGTCCCCATAAAGGATAAGGGCGAGGCAATTAACCAAGGGAATACCGTGCCCATGGCTCCCAGAGGCCGTTCGTGACTGACACAAAGCCAGCCTTTCATCCTTTCAGCATGGCTCTCACTCCTTGGGAATGGGTTAGAGGAAGGGAATAAAGAAGATACAGAAAAGGAAAGGAGAGAAGAAAGGACCAAACAAAATTAGTTAAGGTGAGGGCTGAGGCCCAAGGCAGGGGTGATCCCCTACATTGGGTTTCAGTCCTCATCCCCTAAGCCCTCCCACAACGATGAGCTTGGTATTGGAAGGGAATGGCCATATATTATCTTTATACTATTGATGTTAGTATTGTTGACACCAATACTAACAGCAATAAAAAATAAAGAATCTTTCCAAAAATCAAGGAACATGGCAAACAGGTGAGCTATGCAACTGACTCTCTGATGATTAAAACTGTTGTGGAGCCATCTGTGTAAAGCCTGATAATTAACGCAATAACATTGGATTCTGTGCCATACCAAGTCTCACTAAGGACAGCAGGTGCAATCAACAGCTTACATATAAAATTTGGAACAGGAAACGTGCATCTATCTGCTCTCTATGCTTTTGGCTACAGTAGACAAGTTTTCAAGATGTGTTGCTAAAAAAAGGTTTGAGTTTACTTATGAGAGCCTGTAACTGAACAACCTATCCAGCCAGGGCCAAACAAGCAAATAAATGTTTACCACACAAACCTCAAGAGCAGACTGACTGTGTTGTGGATCCTTGCCATCTGGCATTAAGGCTGTTTGCCCTTAATGAGGCATAAAGCAAGTCATTCTCAAAATTAGCTTAAAATTCATGATGACTTGTTGCAGATTCTTTTCTATTTGAGAGTATAACTTCAGCAATAATAATAAAGGGTAATAATATAAATATATATATATTTTTAAATCTTTTATCTATTAAAGTTTACATACTCCTGTTTTTATTTTCTTTACTTTGTTAGGCATCACATTCTGTTAAAAACTCAAAACATAGGAATATTTGTAACATATCCACAAACATTCTTATTGAGAGATGCATTGTGAAATTGAGAATATGAAAATACAAAGGAAAAAACATACATCCACTGGTGATTTACATGTCTATATGATAAATAGCAGACATGTAGAAAAATTAAGATTCACTGCAAGAATATACGTGCCTGCGAACCGGAATTCCACAACAGATTACTCGTATCCCCTGAAGAAGAAGAGTGTCATGGTTGTTATTTTTGTTTTTGTAAAGATTTATTGCATAGTAAGAGTAATTATCATAGGATATAATCTTAATACAACTCACAATTAGGTAATGTAATTATAATCTTGATAATTTGGATGGGGTTGATATAAATTCAAGTAATTTTTAAACTATAAGACCATATTTTTTAACTATTGGACAGTTATTTGCTCCATTACTTAATATGTTCTAGGATGTAGGATGGCAAAATGGGGGAAGCCTGGTTATCTAATTCTTTAACAGAAAATTTTAATAATAAGCACATACAGTTTTGTCAGCATACTATTTCACTTATAAAAAGCTAAACAATTTAAAGTCCAAAGTTTGCAGCTTACAAGTTGACAGTTTTTTGTAACAACAAAAATACCACTTAAATATACTGCCATAACATTCAACAGAAAACTTACTTGATATGTGTTGGTCCAGTTAGTCTCTGGTTTGAGGTTAAGGTTGTCATGGATGGTAACACCTTCAGGTGTGATGTCTGCTAGCTGATACTTGTAGTGTGCACGGCAGTCACGGTAATACAGCACAGTAAGACACTCTTTCAGGAGCTGCAGAACATAATACACATGTGAATTATAGAGTAAATATCCAAGATTTGATTAACTCACTAAAATTAATATGTACAAAGCGGGAAAGTATGTTTGTAAAGTAAATTAGTAAAATTCTACCTTTTGAGGTCTATTATACATTTGTGATAAATCTTTGCATAAAATAGGGTTGAAACAAATGTGTTAAATGTAAAATGTCATTTAGCACTATGGTAGAGTATTGTGGCAAAAAGGGCAAAAATTTGGATAAAATGTTAGATGTCAAAGGCTGCAGAGTGTTATAGTATAGTATGATAGGGAAAAGGGTAACAAGCAAATGCAAATGAAGTAAATTGGAGATTAGTAGAGGAAAGGGTTACGGACATATGGCGATTGGATGATATGGAGTGTGTTTGTAGCTGGGGATGCAATAGGAACATTGTTTAAGGAACATTGGCAAAAGAGCTATTGTGAAAAAATCAACAGGTAATAAGGGTAGAGATGGCTATTGTACAAGTAGCAGGAGAAAAATACAAATTAAATTATAGGTAGGAGGACTGTGGTGAAGAGTATCAGGAAGAATGTCAGGAGGGGAGGGATCCGGAGGACACTATTGTCACAGAAGGGATTTACATGAGCATCCAGGTGGGAGAGGTAAGGATAATGGGGAATGAAGAGTCAATGGTGCAGATAGAGAAGGAGAGGATGGGGGTTGTTGGGAAACATTTAGGAAGAAGTGGGTAGGAGGAACTTGAGGGGGTGGATATTATCAGTAAATAATTTGAATGTAGGGGGATAGGAATAGAGGGATTGAAGGGTGGATGAGGGAGCGGAAGAGGGGATAGATGTTTTCAAGAGCAGAGGAAAAGTGGAGGTATAGGTGAGGATGTGGTAGTTGAAGATGGAGTGGAATGTTTAGATTGTCTGGTGTGACAAGTAAAGTGAGGAGGGTTAGAGATCTGGATTTAGAATGGTAAAGGAGTTTGACTGGGGAACAGGGGGAGTAAAGGTAGGATAGTTCAGGGTAGAGGGAAGACATGATACTAGGGAGATGCTGAGACATCTTGAGAATAAGGAGGGGGGAGGGGGGAAAGGGAGCAAAGTGATAGTTTTAGCGAAAAAGAGTTAGAAGTAAACCTCGTCATATGCTTCTGTCTGTCCTCACATGTAGAGTGAGGCCTAGTTTGAATCTGAGAACTGCAGCCTCACACTTGAGCTTATTGGCAGGGCAGCTCCTATAAAATACATCATGGGAGTCACTATAATTGTCACATGTACATGACTGAGCTGGGCAATTTGAACGGTCATGACCAGGCTGGGCATGTAGAGGGCAGTGGGTTCTGGAGCAACAGTGTTTGCTTGGACTGTAAAAGGAAAGTTTGCCTACTTGTGTTTAGTTTACATTGAAAAGGGTATTGTCAGAATTGGGGTGGGGAAATTCAAAGAATGGCCACAAGAATTGATATCCAAAAATGGAGAGTTTCAAAGGTTTGCAAGTGGAAGTAGTAGGAGAAAGAGGGTGGCAGGAAGATTGAGGGGAGGGATGGGGTGGTATACTGTGGGAGGAGGCCAATAAGGATAGAAAGAAGTTCGTAGAGAATGAAGAAGACTAGGCTAGTTGATGAAGGCGCAAGCCTTAATGCATCTACTAAGGGTATGGAACCTTCAGTACTGGCCATGGTGAGCCTGAAATAAGTGGGGAAAAGAAATGGTCTACCCCTTAGCGTACTCATAAAGGGAAAGGGCTAGGCAATCAACCAAGGGAATACCGTGCCCCATGGCTCCCTGAGGATGTTCATGACTGACACAGCCAGCATGTCCTTCTTTCAGCACAGCTTTCACACCTTAGGAAGTGGACAGAAAAAGGGGATGAAGAAGAGAAGGAAAGGATAGGGGGAGAAGAAAAGACCATGCAATATTAGTTGACACAAAGGCTGAGACTGAGGACTCAGCAGTGAGCAGCGGCCAGCGTGCGGGCAGAGTCTGGGCAGCCGCCGATTTGTAGCCACCCAGAAACTTTTTATTTTCAGCTTCAAAATATACCGGCGTTACTGGGTTAATGAAAGGATGAAGGATAGTTATTGCAAAGAATCAGTAAATCAAGTAACACCTATTGAAACTAACATTATTACAGCTGGCACTCAACATCATTGCCTGTTGGTATATTTGGCATTATATTTAGCCTTTATCCAGATAGTGTTACCATGTATTATATCATCCAAGGAAAAGAAATAAGTAAATAAATAGTGACCATTATTAAGAAAGAAAGAAAGAAAGAAAGAGAGAGAGAGAGAAAAAAAATACACAGCAGCGTTACCAAATATATACATTCTTTTCCAGAAGTTCTGACAGTTTCACAGTAGTTAACCCCTTTGATCCTGGTCATGAAAAAATTTGGGTTGAAGCCTGGGTGATGTGAACATGCTGGTATGAATAAATATGGCTGCAGGCCAGGCAATGTAAACTTGTAAAGGCCTTGGTGATGGAAAGACCTCTTGGTGGGATATTAGACTGATTTGGCATTTAGAAAAGGACTTCTGCTTTATTCCCATTGATAAATGAATATGGAATGTAAGCCATGACTGGAAGGGTGCTGGCTCCTGGGAGGACACTACTTCATCCTCAATGTTGTATTCCTGGCTGTTGTGAAAGGCAGCACAGATTGTATTACGAATATTACGATAAATAGGGGAGGCATACAGTCTTTTCACCACACACGAGTGCCTGGCCTACACACCGTGCACCAGGCAGTGTGGTCACTTATGTAAGCCATTTGCCTGTACTTTCATCCATGTGATTGCCATGGCGCAACTGTATTCAATGGGTTAATAATTCACTAACATAACATATAAATGAAATGCAAAAACTGCAGCCAATTCAAAAGAATAAATTGAAGCAACATCATCATCTAACCATACTAAAAGACACTGAAAGACAGAGAAATAAGAGACAGACAGAGAGAGATCCCCAAAAGGATAGTAAGAATGATATTTTTACCTTCTCTGCATCCTCCCTGGTTAAAGTTGGTTTCTTCTCCCTCGCCTCTCTGATCATGGGGATGGCTAGATGAACACCAAAGCCAGATGCAACTTCTTTGGCCTCAAAGGCTGTTCCAATCTTGTCAACATAACCCAGGAAGCTGTAATACCATACATGCATTTACAGTAGGCTCTTGAATCATATTTCACCATACACAGACACAGACACAGATACATGCAGACACACATTTACTCTCTCTCAGACACAGAGTTTACATACTCAAGTAAAATATCCATTACATGATATTATATTGTCTTGTCTATGTCTATAAATATGGAAAAGCCAAATTAAGAATGCTACTGAACTTACGGTTTATCATCCCTATAACCAGCAGCAACACACTCAAGCCATAAGGGGTCGAACCTACTGCGGCGGTTGTACAAAACTCTTGTTAACCAGCAGTGCAAGGCTCCTGCATCCAGCACTCGTGTGTACTCTCCACACTCATCATCACGCCTGCAATAAAAAACAGGACGAAGTTACTGCACTGGGAAAGTTAGTCAAACCAAACAGCCCAGATGGCAACAATACATCCCATGCCCACTAATCAATTAGTTAATCGTCTTTACACATAGATTGACCTACAACAAGTGTTTAGTCACAATGGATTCAATAAGAAGGCTACCGATTTCACCTGTTTATCCTTCTTGATTTTTGGAAAGCTTTTTATAAAAAATATTCTACTGTTTTCATAATTATCAATATATTAATAACATTATAATAATTGTAATATCAATAACAGTATCAATATTTATAGTATAAGAGAAAAAAACACTCTCACATATTCAAAGAGTCGGGAAATCAGGAGCAGTCACTAGAGCTTACAAACTGACAAAGTAAAAAAGAAGAAGAAGAAGAAGAAGAAGAAGAAGAAGAAAAACAGGATAGAACATAAGTTGACAGCCACTGGGTTAATCCCTAGCCTATCATTCAGTTTAAGTAAATAAAAGACCACATAGTGGCAGTTCCCAGCTCATTGCCTCCCACATCCAGGGCTCTGTGCCCTCTTGTTCCTCATCCAACCCTCCTCTCTACAAGTTCCTGAATCTACCACTGGGTTCTCATTAGCTAGATCTTTGTCATGAACACTGCAATAAGGAATTGAGATTTTAACTCTTGAGATTTAAGCATCCTTGTCTTACAAGGATTTTATAATAAAAGTTGATCATAACCATTAAATTGCAGTATATCCATTGCTTTTATAACAGTCCTTACATATCTGTTGTACTCTCAGCTATATGCTTAAAGAAACTGTGGGATACATTTGCTAAGGAATATTAATAAAAATAATCATAATGATGATAATAATTAAAATAATAGAAATAAAGGATGCAAAAATTGTATTCTTCTAACAAATGTGGGAACTAATTTGAGTCACACCATTTCTATAAGCATATGGTCATCATATGTATGACCAAAAAAGATACTTACACTTTCTGCTCAATGACTTCTCTGATGAACTGATAATCTGCAATGTCTCCACCACAGGCAAGCACAGCTTTGTCTGTCACCTTGAACACTCTCTTGATATCCCTAAACCTTGCAAGGGAGCCGTATGATCCAAGTGAGTCAGCTGCTACCATGACGCCACCATCATATACGAGACCCACAACAGATGTGCCAGAGGTTGAGGGGTACCTTTATTAAAAAAAAATGTTGATTCAGTAAACAAGTTGTAGCCTTAGCTTTCATAAAGTATTAAAATTTCAACTCCACATTCTGCCTTGTCAGACCCAAAAGATCTTTTTTATCTAATTATTATTATCATTATCATTTCCCACTTCTATTATCTACCAAGTTTTCCTGAACAACATCTTTTATGTTGGGAAACTATTTCTTATGGATCAATGGAGTCCATAGAAGTGGCAAACCCCATTTTCTGAATTTCAGCAAAATCATACTGACACCTACCCAGACTTCATTATTTGGGTATGGCCAAGGCCCCCAACCCGAAAAAAAAAGAAAAGAAGAAGAAGAAGAAGAAGAAGAAGAAGAAGAAGAAGAAAGAAGAAGAAAGAAAGAAAGAAAGAAAGAAAGAAAAAAATCCCCATCCAATTAAACCGAAAACAAGAGGGCCGGCCACAGGGCTATATATTAACAACCTTCATAACGTAAAACCATAAACCATAAACCATAACCAGAGACCTACTTCAATTCAACTTTTCTCAGCAACCACAAGGAGTTCTTGGGTGTGTTAGGTCTCAAGGTCCTGCATGGTTTAGGCTATGTGGCATTCTTATAAGGGGTCTGGATGCGAAAACCACCTAAAATCATACTGCTTACATATTGAAGCAACAGTACATGGTTGCAGGTTTCTTTAGGGTGCTATGGAAACCTATCATAGAGTAAATTACTAAATTAGACTGGGTACAGTTTGAACATTTTCATACCCCTTATAGACCCTTTATAGACCCCTTAAGGGGACCGTCCCTGAAAATGGCCACCTTTCCCTACTCTATACATCATAAAAAAATATCGGTTAGAGATAACTGATCGATTCTTTTTGCATGCTATAGAGTAAAGAATTGCGCTCCGTTATATATATAAATTTTAACTTTGCTCCCCCATTGGGGGGGGGGCACCCCCCAAAAAGTAAAAAAAAAAAAATCGTTTTTTTTTGGTATGTCTTCGGTACATCACAACTATCAGAGCTCTTTACAGAATATTCCCCCAAAAATACTAGTGTTAGATCAACTATAGCCTATAGCCATGTAAAAGGCCGAATTTTGAATTTCCTTTTTTTTTTTTTTTGGCAGGGGACAGCTTGACATAAAAAATACTTTATTTCTTTTTCAGCATTAAAATATTATTATTTTTTGATAAAGGCAAAAATTCAAAAATCGGCCTTTTACATGGCCTTGGGACGCCGAGGCTCTAGTGAAAGCAACAAACTGCATTTGGATCGCATGAAAATTACGTGAGTTGGGATGTACCAAAGATTCATAAAAAAATGAAGGAGCTACGGCATTTTGTATTTGGCCCCTTGCCAAAGTTCGTTATCTCTGTTATTTTTCTCTGAGTCTAATGATATTATATATCAAAAAAACACTTATTTAGTGTACTTTGCAATGCAATGATTACCAAGTCAATAGGAATTTTCATGTTCAATAGGGACGCTATTCTGTAAAGGTATGTAACTTTTTTTTTTTTTTTCGTTGTTCATAAAAGTTGATATTTTCGTGTGAAAAGCTTAATAAATGCATTTTACCATAGAGACAACTAATCTAAACCAGATAAAAACCTTAAAAAAATATATATGTTTTTATTTTCCATTTTAT